CCGCTTCCCAGGTGCCTCTAGTTTCTATCTATTTGACAACAAAACTAGCCAGCACACAAAGGCAAGCTTTTTAGTACAGTAGAGGTTTCATAGTATAGGAAAGGAATCAAAAGACAGGCATGTAGATCCATCTGTCTCTAAAGTGCATAGAAGAGCCTTTGAGTTTTCATTTCTGGTCCCAGGCCCCAGCTCTCAATTCTTTCTCTATTTTTCTTTCTTTTAAAGAAAGAGATGAAATAAAAGACACGTCTATGTTTCTTTTAAGGCTATCACGGGATGGACTATGATCTTGCTTTCCTTCTTTGTTGATGATTAAATCCAGGGTTTTGTGGGCATGAAGCAAGCTTTCTACTGCTGAGCTGCAACCCGCCCTGTGACTTGGACACAGTAGACACAATCTGTAACTGAGAAAAATCAAAGCCAAGAGCCCAGATTCCAACGTCCCCTCCCTTCTCTGTTCTCCACATTCCTCAGAAAACCACCAAAGAATCCAAGTTTGTGTGTTTCTCCTGGGGACCCACTGCCTGTCCTTCTTGGATGAAACCCCTCCATCCCTGTTCACCAGACACAGAATCGCATCATAGGTGAGTGAGGTGTCCTTTCCCGGTGACTGCTGGGAAGCAGAGAAAAGAAAAGGGAACACCAGGGGCGCTCTACTTCTTACCCTCCCACTTGTCTGGAACATCCAGGCAGTTAGATGAAACAGCTGCTGAACTTGGAAATTTCAATATTTGTCTTATTTATTCCCATTGCTGTCAAAACCCAGACCTCAATGTGAAAAGTAGAGAAACAAGTCACTCTATATCCCCAGCTGAACTATAAAATTATTCCTGCTAAGTGCACATGATTACTTAATGATGTCATCCAGGCGCCTCTGATGTTAGGAATGTTCTGAATATCTTCCATTGCCACAATTTCTGGAACTCCAGGCCTCCCCAATGTGCAATACAGGAAATTCTAAAACCATCTCTAGGGTATACTTTCTTCCTTGGAAGTAGCGGGAAATCTGGGAAGGCAAGCGGAGGAAGCCATCTGCCCAGACACAGTCTCTTTCTAGCAACCTTGATCCACCAAATCCACTCCACTTTCTAATACCAAATGTTTAACTGCCACACACTTAGAGCCTACGGAGAGCTGGTCACTTTTTCAAGTACTTTTTTTATTAATGGGCTTAATCCTCATAGCAACCCTTTGAGGTAAGCTCGATTATCCTTCCCATCTTAGCCTAGTAGAGGGAGCATAGATAAGTTGCCCACAGCATGAAGCTTATCGGTGATAGAATCATGCTCCAGTTCAGACATCCTGGATCCACTGTCCTCACAATGCTGAGTCACCTGAGCACCAAGGAAAGGAAGATGGAGTGTTCTGGCTTCTATTTTGTCCTCTTTTAGGTGATTGCTGACTAATTGCAGATGCTGCTTGTGGGCAAGCGAGAGTACTAGAGTCCAGTCTTTAGTACAAACATCACTAGTTGACTGCAGAACTCCCTTTTTCTAACCTAGGTCCCTCTTAACACATCATCTCATGTGAGACTATCCCAGAAAAGCCAGAAGCCAAACATGTGATGCCCTGTGCTCACATCCAACATGTTACTTTACTGTGGCTGCTGTACTTAAGGCATTGCTTCTCCTCACAGCTGCTCCTGCATAGGAGCCTAGGATTTCTCATAGATGAACATAAGCTTCTTGTGTTCCTTGTCTTTGATGTCCTGACGCCATTAAACATCTTGTCTGATGAGGATAAACTAGAAGGCTGGCTTTGTATGTGCTCCTTGAGTTCTTAGGGTATGAGGGCATCAGGCATCTATTCTGTTACACACAGACCAGTTCCAGGGAAGCATATTTGAAATATGTTTGTTTTAATTTGATTTGGTAAAGGGCTTTAGCAGCTAAGCAAATAGCTTTAAAATACTAAAGAAACCAAGGTCAAAGGAAGAAGTAATGGGGTGGATATAATCAAAATCCATTATAGGCATAAATGAAATTCTCAAAGGATTAAAAAAAAATGCTTCATAAAATGTGCTTCCTTTTGATTTGGTGACTGTGGTGGCTTGAATAAGAATGCCTCCCATGGGCTCATATATTTAAATACTTAGTCATCAGGAAGTGATACTACTTCTGAAGGATTAGGAGGTGTAGGCTTGTTGGAGGAAGCCCACTGGGAGTGGGCTTTGGGTTTCAAACGTTCAGGCCAGGCCCAAGTCTCTATGTTCCTACATGAGGCCTGCGGAGCCTCATGTAGCTCTCTCAGCTGCCTCCCCGGCACCATGTGACCGTGCTCCCCACCATGATGATAATGGCCTCAGCCTCTGAAACTGAAAGCCACCCCCACCTGAATGCTTTTTTAAAATAAAAAGTTGTTGTGGTCATGGTGCCTCTTTATAGCAATAGGACGCTGATTAAGACAGTAACTGAAATAAACATTTTTTTTTTCATAAGAAGAAATGTCACTAAATTAAAAACATACTGATCTGGAATGTTTTTTTTCTGAGATTTTTTTCTATTCTATCATAATTTTGTTAATTTTCTCATTTATGAATGATTTGTGGTTCTTGATAATTGTAAACACTTGTTAATTTTTTTTTAATTTTAAGTGTTTTTCTCTGACTTCCAAATGAGTGTCTTACTCTTGTTTCTTAACATCAGTCATCCTAGTTTAACTGTGTGAGTCACCTGCCAACTTTTTTGTTGTTAATACTGAGTCCTAAATCTGAAATGTAATAAATGTCAAGATGTTTTCTGCAGCTAATACTATTTTTGATACTTTCAGAGGTCTTTGAACAGCAATGAAAGACTTACTATTTTAGGTATCAAATGACGTTTTTGAAATGATTAGATTCCATTGATGCCCCCATTTGTGATTACACAGGAAATGGCAAATCAAACAGGTGGTTATTATTACCTATATTAAATTTGTATAAATAATTTTGAAATTCTGTTCTTGTGCAAGGTGCCTTAAGGTATAGAGGGATCTTGGCGTCTGTTTTCCTGATATTTCTTTTATCTGAGCACTGGAGGGGCTTTACCTGCGGACACCAGGCAATCATAATGCTACTATCCACTGGTATTTTGGTTTTAAATATCTTAAATATTTACTCAGTCCTGACCTTTTTCCCTCATTTTAATCTACCATCTTCTAGATCAGTAGTTTTCAGTTAGGTGTGAACATCAAATTTTCTTAAGATGTTTTTATTGAAATAAATATTTTAGAGGTCCTGATTTTGGGATGGGGAAACAAGTTTAGTAGGAATTAGCTTTTTTTTTCTGATAGTTCCCTGTCAGTGTTGGTTGCTGTCTGAGTCAGCAACCAACAGGGGTTTTTCAGGGCTCTTGGAGTGCTGTTCTAAGGGTTGAGGAAGAGCAGAACAGCAAGAGATTTTGTACAAAAGGGAAAAATAGACAACACACAGAGTAGATACAGCATGAAAGCACTGCAAGGCAGCAGTGGGCTCTGAGACTGCTTGGTTGTGAGATGGGTGACAGATGCTCATAAATGTTTGTAGTCCTTAAAAGAGGCTTGGTTCCAAACTGTTATGATCTTGATCAGGGAGAAAATGAAGGATAGGAGTTAGGCTCAGGGATCTCTCTCTTTCCTCTTTTCTCTATCCTTTCTTTCTTAGGTAAGGTAAAAGGGACTGAGAGGAAGAAGGGGGGAATATAAGGATAACATATAGTAATAATATTTGGATAAAAGGATAGATTATTGAATCTTTAATCATAGAGCTACTTTTATTCTCAAATATTTTACATAGATATGGATTATTGTATATTGTTACAGGTTTAAACTGTTCATTGGTTTAGATTATTATATATTGATACAATTTTAAAGTTATTTTTGATACACATAATGTATTTATGTTTCAACTCTCATATAGGGTATTATGCCTATGCAACTCATTTAAAATTGCAATATGAAATTCTAGCCCTTTTAACTGCCACTGTTACAAACTGTTTAGGATAATTAAGTACTGCAGATTAACAGTCAGACGATCATACTCATGGTCATGTCAGATTCTAGTCTAGTTTATCAAAGAGTCTCAAGTTAGAGTGGTCCCTGGGTTTCCTTCTGAGGGTGCAGCAAATGGAGCTGACTGACAGGACAAAAGCCATTGAGTAGTTTCCTGTTTTGATTGGCAGGCTTATGGTACCTAAGCCTTTGCTTGCTTCGCATTGTCCTTCCCCGTGAGGTACCTGATTTTTATCCTATGCACACCAAATCATGCATAGGATGGTAGAGAGAATTTTCCCTAAAATTTCATTTTGGGAACATAGATTGCCCATCCAGGACAGATGTGCTGCTGCTCCTAATTTTAGGATGTATACTAGGATGTATTTGAATAATTTCTGACCAGTGAAAGGGGCAGGGTAGGGGTGCTAATGAATTTCCAGGTATTATCAGCACAGAGGAACTTGTTGTTTTCTTTGGAAGATGTGTACATAGCTTGGTACAGGTGGTGGTCCTGAGTTGCTAACCACTCAGGGTCTGTGTGTGTGTCTGTGTGTGTGTGTGTGTGTGTGTCTGTGTGTGTGTCTGTGTATTTGTATTTGTGTGTGTAGCTCAAGCCAAGTGTAATCCTAGTTTTCTAAGCTGTCCCTATACTTGCTCCTTCCCATGATGCTAAGTTTCTGGACACTAAGATTGTATAGCTGCTGAATTACCTATAAAGGACAAGCAACACTATCATGCCCTGCTTTCTGAAGGGGGACCTTCCGGGCCACCTTCAGGCCACCAGGTAAACACAGGAACCAAGTAGGGCTCTTAAATCCACTGGCTTTCCCTCGTCATTCCCTGGCTTCTCTTCCACTGCCCAATGATTAGTACATTTCATAATCACATAATCTCTTCATTTTTCACTCTCATCCCCTAACAGATGCCAAGTCCCACCCACAGGATTGTGTTTCTTCTGTCTTGCTGTTTTTTCAGGAGCTGGCCTGTGCTCCACTGCTCAAGACCCCTCCTTCATGACCTTGTGCAGGCAGAGTTTTCTCTGGAAGCTTCCACCCACTCTGCTCTCTATAAAGGTAGACAAAATAGCCAGCAAAGTACAGAGGCTGAGATCAACACAGAAACCTCCAACTCTCTCTTTTCACCATGCAGATCTCCACAGTGCTTCTGTGCCTGCTGCTCATGACCACTGCCTTCACCTCCGAGGTGCTGGCTCACCCAGGTAAGTCTCCTGGTAATCCTTTAAGGGAAGTCAGCCATTTCTCTAGCCATACACCAGGACTCTTCAGAGACTTGCTGCTAACCCTGCAATTCAAAGACAGGACATGAAACACCAGACAGTCAAATCGCTGGAACTGATACCGGCCCACTTTCATATTTCACTTTATCGTGTGTGTGTGTGTGTGTGTGTGTGTGTGTGTGTGTGTGTGTGTGTGTTTCTGGGTTTCTGTCTCTGTCTTCCTATGTCTCTGTGTCTCTCTGTCTTTATGTCCCTGTCTGTCTCTCCCCCCACCTCTGACATGAGTAGGCAAGTGTCAAGTGCGTCTACACAGTCAGTTTCCCTCACAGTGTCTGGGTGTGGGTCTGTGTATGGCACAGTGAGCATTTGGATATTGGTGAAATGGAAGGACCTGTTTTGGGGGTAAGAGTTTCTGCAGGATTCTAAGATAGCAATAGTGGTGAAAACAAAAGGTCCTGAGACACCTCTCAAGCTGGTTCCTTTCGACTCTGTTTAAGAACCTGCTGTAGGTGTTTGTTTCTTACCCCGTTTTATTATCTTTCGATGTCTTACTTTTACTGAGTGTGTAAACCAATGCACACTACAGTGACAGCTAATCCCAGTCAAATCAACAAGGGCCGGCTCCTTGCCCATAATAAGCAATAATAATGCACGAGTTCTGCTTCTGCTGTATTCTTGGGTTCCCAGACTGATCAGTGGAGCAAAGGAAAAGAATGCTCAAAGGTTCCATTGGTGGCACTTGCCAGCTCAGAAGTGTGATATTTTTTTTTTCTCCCTTACTGACCAAACTGGTTAATATCATCAGCCAACTAAAATGGCCAAGAAAGCAGACAATGGAGAGTGTTGGATGACTGGTTCTGAGACGAGCACACTGTTGTGTGCTCCTCTTAATGTCAGCAAAAAGGGGACCAGAGTGATGGGGCCTTCTTGTTTTCTTTGTTCTGGCTGGGAAAGAATGATATTTGACAGCTATGTTTCAATGAGTGAGTTTATTAAGTACAGAGCAAGCCAAAGTGTAAAAAAAAAAAAAAAATGATGGCGAGAGATAGAGAGAGGCACAAAATATCAACTCTACTGTGCAAAATCTTTAGCAGAAATTGACTAAGGAAGCCTTTTTAAGGCAGTCATCTGGGATTCCCAATGGATAGGGTCCCCGCCTGGGTGAGGCTTCAAAACCAAGGAGCAAGGAAAACAGAAAAGTACATCACCAAATTGGGGCTCATAACATCCACCTGAAACTGGCTGGAAGTTGGGGAACAGGGAGTTCCTTTTTGAGCTTTCTTCCATGGATATGCTCCCCATGGCTGGACATGTGGCTTCTCTTTCCCAAAGCAAGCACTGTTATATCATGGGATAAATGACAATAAACTCTGTGGGCAATAGTTCACATTTGAACAGTTCTGAAGGGGATAACACTTTTACTCTTGGATGTCTGGTTGTCCCCTCTTTATTGTTGCAGAGTTGGAGGCCTAGTCCACCCCCAAGCAAGAGCTCTTGAAGAACTCTCTGAGACAGACATATTTGGGTCTGAAATTGAGATGGGGGAGCAAGCCCACTTCCAAAGACAGCATCTAAGAGATCCCAAACAACATATAACAACTTAGCAATATAATGTACATTGTGTTCAGCCCTGAAATTGCCTGTATGCAGTTATTTGGCACTGCCAGCTCTATTATTTGGGGACAAATGAAGTAGATTGATTTAATACATTGTGGGATGAGACGAACATAACCAAAAGTTAGTTAACTGTAGACTTTGTTGATGAGTTTTTCTTTTTTCTTTTCTTTCTTTCTTTCTTTCTTTCTTTCTTTCTTTCTTTCTTTCTTTCTGTGCTGTTGTTGCTTTCAGAGTTCTGGGTTTAGTTGTTTTTTTTTTTTTTAATTTTCTTAGTTCGCTTATTTATCCAGCTGTCATAGCAGGATAGCGATGGTGGGTGTGAGACCTTCCTCAGACATGGGCTTTTAAAGGATTAAACTTTGAGATAAACATACTTAGGTCTGAAACAGGGAAGGAGCAACCTGGCTTCCAGGGTCAGTTTCTCAGTGAGCTCAAAACAACACATTTTAACAGTTTTAACATATTTAATGTATACATTTGTTTTTAGCATAAGAGTCCCTCCTAGTGGATTTGGGATCCAGTCTTTGGGGATTGGGTGGTGATTGATCCTGGTTCCTTCAAAGCTGGCTAGGGATATTAATGAAAAGGCTGGATGAGTCCCTCGCTGGGCTAACACACAGGATGGCTGGGATGTATGGCATTACTCTGGGTGAGCCACCAGCCCTCAGGAGAAGGAGGTGAGCATGTGGTCAGGAGTCAGCTGCTTTTGTCTGTGTTATCTGAGGATTTAGGGCTTAGAAACTGGACAATCTCAGTCATAAGTGATGGACCAAAGAGACAAAGTAGAATCAAAACAGTAAGATCTTGAAGGGTCTGATGTCTTGTGAACGATTTGTTAAATTCTGGGAGAAACACACCTGTGTAGCCACTTAAGGAGGAAGGGCATGTTCAAAGAAGGCTGTGCAGGCAAAGAAATAAATGTATGGTGTGCATATGTATTTATCTGGAGTTGACTTTGGGGGTATCTCTTAAAGAGAAAGTGTTAAGTTCTCAACTGGCTTGTTTTATAGTGTATCTTTCTTCTTTTATATTTCTGACTGTCTTGTGGAAAATAAGGCTTAAAGGCTTAGCATTGGACAAGTGAAGCCAGTTAGTAATGTTATAGAATTTGACATATTACTCCCTTTTAAACTGGCAAAAGCCGGCCTTTGTTGTAGTTATACTTTTAGGGGTGTGACATCTATATATAGCTTAGACAAAACAAAATTTGAATAAATTCTGATGCTGCTAAAATGCTGTTTCTCCCAAGTATGAACTAGCCTAACAATGTTGGCACAATAACTACCTCAATTAGACATGCATTTTTTGGTTTTTGAATTAGTTTTTATAAATGTTGCCATGAGAAGATCAGTGCCTTGAGGAATTTTAAAGGCCTTCAGTCATCAAACATACATGGTCTTTAAGTCCTATCCTCCATGCACCTTGCACAATTTACTCAGGCCTCTTGTGACTTGGATTTAAGCTTTTTATTTTGTCTTACCACATAAAATTCATATTTAAAAAAAACTTACCTGTTTAATAAAAATATAATTTCATCTTTACATTTTTAAACTTCTTTCTTCTAATTACTTAAACATTCACTTCTGTAAATAAGAGTTGAATGCAAATTATATACAGGCTATTGTGTTTTAAATTAACATTACCTGACATATTATTAAACTGTCAAGTTTTTTTTTTAATTTTTGAGTTGTTTGTTTGTTTGTTTCTGTTGTTTGTAGACAACCCTTTTTTAGCACTTGAATTTCTACCTTTCTCCCTTCTGGTCTCAAAGTCTTGAGAAAGTTCTTGCACTGTTTCAAAAGCCTGCAGGGAAATTAATGACCTTGATCAGCGAACACTCTTTGCAAACAAGAAGAGACCAAAGAAAATATTCACAGAGAGACAAAAAAAATCTTTGCATGTTAACCCTGCAACTGTAGTTTTAGGTACAGAAGATGGATATTCCTTTGTTCTAGTGGTGACATAGGGGAAGCCAAATGTCTATGGGTCATTGCTCCCTTCATCGCTTGTCTGTCAATGTGTACACCCCCTTTCACTTTTTATGAGAGTCCACTCCTTTAACCAGAAATGGTGATTCATAGCCTGTTGGTGATGCTAATTATATTCTCTATGGTCTGGGGAAGAGATTGTGTAGCCACACTCGAAGTTTTGAATGAGTAAGTGTATTTATTAATTACATATAAAGCCAAAGCAATAGTGAAAACAACACACACACACACACACACACACACACACACACACACACACACACAGGATTGGAGGATGCCATCAGATCCTATGCTCAAAACACCCAGTAAAAATCTACTGGGGAAACCTTGTTGAGGCAGTAAATTTGAGTTTCCTCTTGAAGGAATTCTGAACGGAGAAGAGTACCCTCCCTGGAGAGCAAATTAATAAGAGAAAGGTAACATAATCAAATTGGGGGCTTAAAACCAACAGAAACTGGCTGAGGAAGCCCTTGAGGCAGTCAGGGGAGTTTCTCCACTGAGTACTTGTTCATGGCGACAGCTTCTCTGTGTCCTGTTAGTGACAGTTCCCTTTGCAGCTGCTCTCTGGGACACAGTACTGTTGTTCACAGTCCATTCTTAGGTTCTCTCCTCTCTGTCACAGAGTTGGACACTCATCCCCTTGCCAGACAAATCCTGGGGGGAACTTGACACAAACATGCTCAGGTCTCAAATGGAGGGGAGGGTAAGCCTGCTCCCGGAGCCAGCCTCTCAGTGAGCTCAACAATGTAGCACACGTTACCGGTGTCATGTACACCGCATCTTGTCAGAGACGATGGGCCCCCACTGTGCAGAAGACCATGGGGAAGGGGAAGGGGTGTGCGCCTCGTCATAGGTACAGGGATGCAGAATTCTACATCCACCCCTGATGCACCCTTACCTTCTCCTGACTTTCTTCCTACAGATTTCAGCATATATATATAAAATATCCATGGATTACAGACGATTCATTCTTCCTGTCCATTTCCTTCTCCCTAAATGTAGGCTCTATCCCAGCTTCCTGCTGTTTCATCATGACCAGTAAGAAGATCCCCAAATCACTACTGAAGAGCTACAGGAGAATCACCAACAGCAGGTGCACCCTGAAAGCTGTAGTGTGAGTAGACACCACCCCCACTGCACCCCACCCCCATCCTCCAACACACCACAAGGCCCTCAGGCCCCAAACTCATTCCCAAGGTGCACAGTCAAATGCTGTGTCCTAATTAAAGAATCAGACAGTTTGACACGCAATCCACGAGTTTTCACAGCACAAGTTTCCTCTCAGCTCTCTGCATAGGAGCTGGTTCCTGACTACATTAGACCTTTCATGTCCAAGGGCAAAAGTGTCTTCACTAGGCCAGCAAGAGCAGAGCCTGAAGTCCCATCCCTACTCTGACCACCATTTTGTACCACAGTGATCTCTGCGCCCCATATCAAATGATTCCGGAGGGTTTGGGAGAAAAGGGGAGGACTTTCAGAGCATCCTCCTGACTGTTTGCTCTCTTCTGCAGCTTCATGACCAAGTTGGGCAAAGAGATCTGTGCTGACCCCAATCGAAAGTGGGTCAAGGATGCCACAAAACACCTGGACCGAAAATTCACAGCTCCCAAACTGTTACAAGAACCTCGCCTTTTGAGACTAAACCAGAGCCTTTCATAGGTTCCTTCTTTTCCTAAGATGTGCTCTGAGGTAATCTGTGCACCATTCCCAAGGACTTGGCTTCATGTGGTTATAGAGGGAACTGGAACTCATTATGTTTGGTGAAATAGGCCAGACTCGAACGATTGTGTAATTTCTTGCATATGCAGAATCTGAAGATAAGAGCATGAAATTGGATGTGGGATTAGTGAGGAATAAGATGGAAAGGGGTGGAGAGGGCAGTTGAGGATAAAAGGGGTAAATATGATCAAAGTACCTTATGGATATATTTGGAAATGTCATAATATGATCCACTGTTTTGCACAATTAATATACACTATTAAAATGTTAATATTTTAAAACATTTAAATAATTAAAGTTTAAAGCACATTTTTCATGAATATCTGTTTGTTTGTCTGTTTCTTTGTTTGTTTGTTTGTTTGAAACAGAGTCTCACTGTATCACCCTGACTGACCTGGAACTCAATATGTAAACCAGGCTGACCTCAAACTCATAAAGACTCTGCTTCTAAAGTGCTGGAATTAAAGGCATGTGCCACCATGCCAAGCCTCAGTGTTTTTTATTGGTATATACCAATAATAAATAATACAACATTTTACCACAACATTTTCCCACATGTCATTTTTAAGATCTAAAGCTTTGAGAAACCTGTCTCTCTATTAGTCCTGATTAAGTCTCCCTGTGATCTCCTCCCCGTTTACCATGGAAAGGTCACTATTGTGGAAGTGTTTTGTATTTCCAGGAGGATATTGTTATTGTGGCTGTACGGTGTGTGGTATTAAATGAAAGTGAATTGGTTTGGGCATTCATGAAATCCATGCATATCTTATTACCACTGCAGTTGTGTTTGTTTGTTTGTTTGTTTGCTTGCTTGCTTGCTTTTGAGGGGGGAGGTTGTTCGTTTTTTTGTTTGGGGGTTGTTTGTTTGTTTTGTGAGAAAGCCCATTCATCTGGGGTGGAATAAAGATGGCAGTTGGAAAAGAACAATTTGTGAAGTGGTGCTCTGTTCCGTACAAAATGACTCTTTGGCTTGGCTAGCGCTTATCAAAATTCAGATATTTCATTCTGTCCCCAGGATTCCTGTTCCCACCAGCAAGGTCCCAACTACACACACACACACACACACACACACACACACACACACACACACACACCTGAGCCAGTCACTCTGCAGGAGTTCCCACTACACCAGTGCTCAGCTCTGGAATTCCTGTTTTTATCAGCAAGGTCCCAACTCCACAGTCTTCAGTCATTCTGCTGGAGCCCTCCACCATGACGTAACACCACGCTTGTTCCAAGTCTTCCCTGTAACTTATTGCAACTGCCTGTTATAGTCTCTCACCTCGACCTTACTGTTCTATCTTGCAACAAAGACCCACAGACCCTGCAGACATGGAAAAAGCACAGGAAGCCAGGTGACCCTGGAGAACTGGCTTAGATGAAGTCTCCAAAGGTGTATTACCTGACAAGAACCATCTTAAGGAGGGAAGGGTCTAACTCAGCTTGGAGTTTGAAGGTGCAGTCTATTGTGGTAGGCAAAGTAGCAAGAGCAGACTTATCTGCAGCAACAGGCAGCAGGCAGGTCTCATTGACTCTGCAGTCAGGATGCAAGACTGAGCCAGAGTGGCATTCCACACACCTTCTCCTGTTCAGGCACCCTGGCTCAGGGATAGTGTTGTCCACCTCAGGGTAGGATCTTCCTTCCTCATTTTAACGTTTATAAAAACCCCTTTGCAGACAAGATCAGAGGCATCCCTTTTGGATGATTCTAGATTTTTGTCTGTATTAAAAGATGAACAATCTCAACATTAAGGTATGTGTAGATGGATGACAGTGGAGGTTCGAGGGGGGATCTCAGTCCAGGTAGAGAAGAGCCATTTCTTCCTCCAGTGCCTAGGTGTGAGGATGAGTGACATCTGTCAAATTCGCTGGGCGCCTCTCCTAGGAGTATATGACCTACATGTTGGGAAAAGAGCGTGAAGGCCAGGCTATCAAGGGGAGGACCTCAGATAGTGATAAGTGGGGTGAGCATAAAGTTTTATCACCCAATTTGGAATGTTTTTCATAGTGAATGGGAGCTATGATTAATTCCTCTTAGAAAACAGGTATGTTAGTAAAACATCACCCTGGTTATAAGACACATTGATTCTAGTTAGTGAGAAGAGAAGGTTCGTGGCTCGAGAAATTTCAGGAAACACAGGTGTCTATGGGCAGGATGGCTGAGAGAAAAAGGGAGACGCAGTGTACCTACTATTACATTAGGTAGGCAAGAATCAGTCTGTGTAGGCAAAGACTGCTGTGTGGAGGTCTTGATCACTGGCAGATAAACAGGGGTGGGTAACCACAAGAGTTGTTCAATGCCAGATGAAACACTGCATGTTGGGAAGCTGGTGATGGAAACTTCCCAAGCGCCACCAAAGCTGCATTTAAAGCAGCTCTCTAACATCAGACTAAGAGCAGCAGCATTAGATGCCAACTTTATACTTTTGAAAGAACCCAGATGCCAGGAGACAAGACTTTACTTTCTGTATGAGCAGCTCAAATCTGCATTCTCCTTCAGCATCTCCAGATGGACCAGCATCTCTGTGCTCACATGACTCTCATACCTAGCTACAGAGAACAGTTCTGTCCCCAAGGTCGAAAAAGGATCATGGCTGTTTGCCTGTGTAACTCTATCACCTGAAGCTGAAGTCCTGGGTCATAAGCTTTCTGGGTTAGGCTGTGTGAAAGTAGGGTCACTACACTGCATAGCTCTAAGAGGTACCATCACACCAAGCCCTCCTGCGACCGTGATTACTATGGCACAAAACGATAAAGAAGTCAGCAAGAGTCACTCGGAAGAATGCTCTTCTAGGCGGTGAATGATTTCGGTATACAACTATTAAGCGATCTCTCTTGCTGTTATGTTGTGTCTTTGTTGTGTTCGTGTGATACTATCTTTTAGATAAAAAATTTGAGGCCTCTGTCCAATGACCCCATAAGATCATGCATGCTGAGAGCAGTCTCTTCATTATATCACAGTCTCCATTCACAGGGACAAGATAAGGCTGGCAGAGGACACTACACACTGAGTAACTGGAATTCCTATTCTATCTTATACTGAACATTTCTAGAAGTTTCTCTATGAGACAGCTTCTAGTAGCAGCTACATAATGGCTCCCATTAAGGGATGTCATGACTCTGACTTCAAGTAAAAGTCCTTTATCTCTTCTATAGTCTGGCAGACAAGCTCTGAACACCAATCAGGGATGAGATGCATGCCCAGGAGGCACATATCAGACATGAAGCAGCCATAAGGCAGCCCACTGGAATCAACAGACCAAAAGAACCTCCAGCGTCAGTCAAATACCAGGGAGACATCAGAAAAAAGGAGAAAATGGGAAAGACCCCGTCTTGTTTATTTATTTGTTTGTTTGTTCACTTATTTCAATTTATTCACTTTATATTCCTATTGTAGTCCTCTTCCTCATCTCCTCCCAGTTCCACCCTCCCTCCCTCTTCTCCAGTTTCCCTCTCCTAGTCCACTGAAAGGGAGAGTCCTCCTCCCCTACTTTCTGACCCTAGCCTGTCAATTCTCATCAGGACAGCCTGCATCCTCTTCCTCTGTAGACTGGCAAGGTTGTCCCTCCAGGAAAAAGGGATCAAAGAGCAGGCAACTGAGTTTATCTCAGAGATAGGCTCTTCTTCCCTTACTAGGGAACCCACATGGAGCCTGAGATACCTACGGGCTATATCTGAGCAGAGGGTCTAAGTCCTCTCTTTGCATGGTCCTTGGTTTATGCATCAGTCTCTGAAGGGCTCCCTGGGCTCAGATTTTTTGGCTTTGTTGGTCTCCTTCTAGAGCTCCTCTACTCACTTAAAACTGGATATTAGATATAATATAGAATAAACATACTAGAATCTACAGACCTAAAAAGACTAAACAACAAGGAGGACCCTAGGGAGGATGCTTAATTCTCATTCAGAAGGCAAAGAGAATAGACACCAGAAGTGGCAGAAGAGAGGGAAAAGGACAGGAGCCTACCATAGATGTTCCCTGAAAGACTCCACCCAGCAGGGGATGAAAGATGCAGAGACCCACAATCAAACTTTGGGCAGAGAACAGAGAGTCTTATGGAAGAAAAAGGGGAGAGACCACCTCTTGGTGTGAAAGACTGAATAGAATTTGGCCATATCCCCTAGGCCAAGATTTCTCTATCTTTTGAAGCATCTTGAATTCAATTTACCTCCAACAGATCATAGCATGACTTGTCCCTGGAATAGAAAGTCTGGTGTTCAAAGCACCATGTATGTTGAAGCCTTCTACAGCTATACATACTCTGACCAAGACCTGGGATGTCACTGGTTTCTCTGGAAAGGAAATTCCTACATGATAATATTAAGGTAGAGTGCTGGAAACTGAGAAAAATAGAGATTTTTTTTTGTCATGATGTAGTCACAGCCAGCTAATCCTACATAGAGTACCAGAATGAGGCTAACCCAAAGGGTGGGGCCTGACTCTTATGTATCCCCTTTCTTGTCATGGCTGAAGGCTTTAGTGGAGGGTTCTATGGTGGAGACTTAGCTGGGAACTGTTGGCAGCTCACACTCTGAAGGAGAGCTTCAATCCTGGAGCAGAAAAAGATCTGGACAGAACACCACACTCCATTAGGCCCCTCCCTTCTCTCTGTTCAAATTCATTTGCTCATATGAGATCTAGAAACTTCCAGAAGTCTTTTGAGCCTTCTCTCCACCCTCCCACCCCTCCCCACACAGAAAACTTTCAAGAGAAAGGTCAATAGGGTGAACTTCAACCTCTTTCCAACTGCTGTGGACCCTCTTGAGAGTGTAAATGGTGCTTACTTCCTTGAATCCTCATTCTACACTTCCCCAGCCAGGCTGGGCTGCACTGTTGACTAAGGCCTCAATGCATGAGGGCTGAACCTTCAGTTATCTTGTTCTTGTGTCAGTTGCTCTTATCCACTGCCAGTCTTGGGGGAATGAACATCAAGAAATAGGTGTATATGCCACCTGAATACCAAAATGCTCAATGAGAAGGATCTGCTCCATCTCTTGCTGATGAACAGGGCCCAGCCTCTGCCTAGGTGGAGATGCATTCTGCTCACCTCTGTTGACTTGCAAGTGACAAGTGATAGCATAGCTATAGCTCGATTACATGAGAAGCTCTAGAATATATGAATGTATTCTTTCTCTGTGAGTCGAGGCTTCTCAGCCACAGCACCTTGATGGGTAGAAACAGAAAACATTTGTGGTGGATCATAAGGAAGGATGGAAAGTGAAGCCACTGTTATTTCCAACCTTAATTCTTGTTTTGTAGATTTTACCTACCGGGGATCCAACATCGTATTGTCATGCCTTTGGGGATATGTATTAATTTTCA